TTTTTTTTTTTTTTTTTTTTGGTGTTCGCTTAGGTTGTGGGCTCACGTGCGAGGCATTTATTTAGAGAGGGCACTATTGACGGGGACTACGCATATTTTCGATGACTTCTACAAAGAAGCTTCAAGAACGCAAAATCCCTTTCAACACAGGAAAATTTCTGTAACTGTGATATCTACTATTGAGTCAGCAGGAAGTGTTGGGCAGCTGTTGATAGTTTATTAACTAAAAGACTTTGCGGTGATCAAATGCCAGAAAAAAGGATTAAATCAGAACTAGTTGGGTGTAATAAACCTGTTTACCACTTAAATGATTCAAAGTACTTTAGGTCTTTATTTGAAAACAACTGAGGGTTTTGACGGCAGCAATTCGATGCCTTTTGAGACTGGAGTATCAAAAAGTGTTTCCTCGTTACGGCTTTGAACAAATTTACACTAGTTATGGTATCCTTTTGGTTTCTGAAGGTAAAGCGAAACATGAAAGCCTTAGTTCAAAAAAGTTATTGGCTGGACCATCAAATTACGACAAACTTCTTTTCCTAACCCTTTAGCTGATATCCGTTTGATTTCACAAAATTTAGCGCATTTGGAGAGTGCACCAATTCGTAAATTCAGAGAATACCAGGTCGCACCGAGAAAGATGAATAACTGTGAAAATTTTGACTCTGTCTAAAGTTTACACACAATGCAGCTATGAGCTGTTTCAATTACAAATTTTTCTTGGCTTCTTCTTTGCGATACTTACTTTGGTAATAAATGATTATCGCGCCACTTTTTCGTTGTTGCCCTGCGTGTCACAAACTATTTTTGTCGAGTGAAGTAATAGCGCTAAAATGCTGAAGCTAAGTAAATCAGTGGATGAACATTAGATTGGGGACTGTGATGTTTTCATGCACACTTTTAACTAAGTTTTCTTGCTTTATTAAAATACTGCATTAAATTGATAAGCAAGTTGTAGGCTGAATTTTGAATATGTTATTAACACCCTATCTCCTAAAGTAAAGATGTAAGTGGTTTAGAACTGCAGAATTGCCTCATCTTCCAGCAACAAATTTAAGTGTAAAAGCCAAACAGTGCTTAGATATAGTTTTTTTGCTTTTAGGTTGAAAATTTAGAAAATGGTGCATCACTTTCAAATTATGGGCGTTCTAGCTAAATTAAGCAAATTGCATGAACAATTTTCCAGACTTTCCGATTGCTTGCAATTCAGTTTCAGTGCTCACAAACTACAGCGCAAACAACATTGATTTAGAATCATTCTTCTTCTAACATGGTTATTTCGTTGAAGTATTAAAATTGCTCAATATAGCCAGAACGCTCATTATTTGAAAGTGGTGCACCGTTTTCTAAATTCTTCAGCATTTTAGACTGGCATTTGAGGTACAATATAAGAAGAAAAATGGTAAAACGACGTTCTGACACAGTTTATTAACAAAATTTTGTTATTCATATTTTCACTCAATAAGGATTTCAAAATAGTTATTTAGTTCAGGCGAAATTAACCGCTGTGCAAAAAGTTGTAAACAAAAACTTCAGTGATTCAAAGAAACCGTAAAATTTAAGAGTAATATACACAAGATAATGATCCTTTTTTTTTTTCAGACCACTCAGTTTTTTATCCACAGCCTTCTTTTTTTTTTTTTGCAACAATTAAGAAAAATTGATATTTAAATTAGTTGTTCGTTTAATGACTATTCCAACTAAGAGCGGCTATCAAAATGGTTGATCAAAGGAGGAAAAGAATGCGGTGTTTCCTGGCTTAGTAAAGAAGCTACTTTCATGTAACATTTCTGTTTAAACCTTTCCCTCTATTTAACAATTTGAAGAAAGAAAAATTTATTCATAATGGAGTTGCTGTCTGCGGCCACTGATCCATAATGACTGTTAATAAAAAGTCTAACAACAGTTATATACAACCATGATCTCTTTCTTGAAAGTCGTAGTGATATTCAGTTCGTATTCTGAACAAAGTTTCTTTTCATAAATTCTCGAGCAATCCCAATTCATCTAATACGTGTTTAGAACCTTCTTCCAGCTAAAATTAATACAGTTTTATTGCATACAACTGTTCCGTCACGAATTAGGTCTTTTTTCTTCAAATCAATTAAATTTTAAATTTTGTACTGTTTATTGGTAGAATTTGTTAAAAATTTGTGCACTTGTATAAAAAAAACAGGCAGAAGTGTCTCCCTCTAAACAAACTTGACCCGACAATCAACACCGAGATCCTGACCTTTGAACTTGTTGACTTGGCGATTTGTTGGTGTTCGCAGAGTAATATAGATGACTGCATTTGGTCACATTCTACGCCCTTGTATTCAGCTGAATTATAGAACTATGGCTTCACCACTTCAAATTTACCTTTCTTCTAACTGTTTAATGTTTTTACCAGTACAGATATGCCATTTGTTTCCTTAAATTTATTTTTACCTTAACAGGCAAGGCCTGATTGCATTAAAAATGTGTTCAAAATTGTCTAATTTACCATTTATCCCTTCGTAGATTAACACATAACAGTCATAGTTGGCAAGCGTATTTTTTTTATCAAGTATATCTTTGATATAATCTGTCCCGGTGTCATCATCCCACTGTAACCTTCCAGTAATCCTGCGTATCCCCAATGCAAGTTGTTGAGGCTCCTTCGCTTCACTCAATCCAAAAAGCGATTTTAACAAGTCTGAAATACACCATCCTTGTCACTACCATATTGTTGTTATTATTATTGTCATTATTACTGCTATTATTGATATTAATATTAATATTATTAATGCTATTATTATTATTGTCATTATTACTGTTATTATTAATATTAGTATTATTATTGTTATTATTATTATTGTCATTATTACTGTTATCATTAATATTATTATTATTATTATTGTTATTATTACTGTTATTATTAATATTAATATTATTATTAATATTAATATTATTATTATTATCATTATTGTCATTATTACTGTTATTATTATTATTATTATTATTATTATTA